AGCCTGAAAATCATTGGGCCAGTCATGGATGGAAACCTCTGGATCTGTGAGCCAAAATAAACCTTCATCTTTTCAGTTGATTTATCTCAGATTTAACACTGTCAGCCTGCACTGTATGATCAGTAGGAGGAAGAACAATTCTCCCGAGGAAGGAGCTGAACTATCATAAGGAAAGACGGGAGCTGGAGAGATGGCTCAGCCGTTAAGAGCACTGGCTGCTCTTCCAGAGGTTCAATTCCCAGCAACCACATGGTGGCTCACAATCCTCTGTATCTCCAGTTCCAGGGGAATCCAAAGCCCTCTTCTCACTTTCTCAGACACTGCATGTATGTGGCACATAGGTCCATACAGGAAAACATCCATACACATAAAATAACTTTTTACAGGAAGGGCCAGTGAACACCTAGAATATGAAATCTTCACCTGATATAGGTTAGGACCAGGCTACTAGAAGTCTACAATGCCAGGCTGAAGAGTTCAGCCTTTATTCTGCTGGGCAGCTAGACTGTGCGGCAATGTTTGGATCATATATAGAAAGAAATTGGAGTAAACATTGGACCAACACATGCCCCAATCCACAGGCTCCACTGAGACCCTGTCTACTGCGTAATATTAAGGGACATTGGAATTTCATTTTTATTTTACTTTTTTTTTTTATTTTACTTTTTTGAGACAGGGTCCATGTAGCCTTAACTGGCCTGGAACTCATTATGTAGATCAGGCTAGCCTCAAACTCACAAAAATTCACCTGCCTCAGCCTCTCAAGTGATGGGCATAAAGGGGTATTGTAGATGTAACCAACAGTCTTATTAAATAAGAAACACAGAGCCGATTCAGAGAAGAAAGCCAAGAGGTCAGAGCTAAGAGCGTCACCCTTCCTGATTCAGGGATCCTCTTCAGCCAAGAGAGCTCTCCGAAAGGGACCTACTTCCTGTGTGTATGTCTTTATATAGTCTAGCTGTTCTGCTTTCTCATTGGTTGTAAACCCAAACATGTGACTGCCTTGTCACTGCCTGAATGTACCGCCCTCCAGGTCCTTAAAGGCGTGCGCCACCGCCGCCACGCACTTGCTATGGCTCTAATAGCTCTGACCCCCAGGCAACTTTATTTATTAACATACAATTAAAATCACATTTCAGTACAAGCAAAATACCACCACAGGGTATGCCACCACACATGGCTGGCACTGGAATTTTAGATGTCCTTTAGCCCCCGGGCAAAGGCCAGCTCTGGCAAGCCCTCACTCTGAGTATGAATCCTCTCTCCTGATCTCTTGGGGCTGGTCACTGAAGATGAGTGGAAGCAAGCAAGGTTCAGAAGCCCCTGTAGTCATCATCATCACCAAGGTTGCACCTAGGGTGAGCTTCACTATTGGTGGTTAAAGCCAGCTCACAGACCTTAGGGTCAACTACCACCACCCACCAGACACAGACTCAGCTCCAGGCTCTCTCTCCCATCCCAGAGAAACACCTCTTGGAAAGTAACCCTTTGGCTGACTCTACATACTCTTGTGACCCTCCTAAGGGAACCACAAACTCCTACTTAAAAGCAACCAGATTCCTCTCTGGCTTGTCTGCTCACCTCTTTTGTCCAGACCACTGTCCGATATACTCCATGGACTCATGTGGACAGCATCCTCCCGGTGCGTGAATGCGGATATGCCAGTTTGGCATATAGAGTTTCACAATGCAAGAGTGCACAGGTTACCGGGTTCTAGAATTTGTACCGTAGGAAGAGTCTGTAGACAAAGTGACTCCAGCACACTTGTGTCAGCTGACCTTGGAACTGAGTCCTCACTGTAGTGGCCTTGGTGATATGGGGCCTGTCGGACTATTACACATGGCTCTTTTCTAATTGGAGGCTTTGATTTTGAGCTCTCTCTTGCCTTTCAAGGTTGCTCAGAAAGCTTGCTTTCCTTATTTTATGCTTCTTTATTTACTGGGTATTGCTGGGAATCATCAAGCCAAGGGCCTTATTCATCACGCCAGGCCGATGCTCTACACCAGCCACTGTTCTTGTTTGTTTTGCAACAGGGTCTCACTGTTGTAGGCCAGGCTGAACTTGAACCCACTGTGGAACCCACAGTGACTTCAAACCCTGAATCTTTCCACTTCAGCTTCTCAGATTCTGGGGCTATAGATATACACAACAAAGCTTGGCCATGAAAGTTCATTTTATTTTATTTTATTTTTATTTTAAGATTTATTTAGTTTTTGATGTGTATGAATATTTGTCTGCATGTATGTATGTCTACCATGTGTGTGCCAGGGTGCCCATGGAAGCCAGAAGGGGGTGTCGTGTCCCCTAGGAACTGAAGTTACAGATTGGAGTTACAGACAGTTGTGAGAACTGAACCCAGGTCCTCCCCAAGAGCAGCAAGTGCTGGGGACCCATCTCTCCAGCCCCATGAATGCTCATTTGAATCAGATGTTACCTGAACATTGACCAGGCCTCCAGCTCCTTCCTCTGGCTGCACCAGTGACCTCTACCTACCATGAGCCTTTACCTTTTATCTGATAGGGAGTGATGAATGCTTAGTTGACCGGGCCCGGCTCACCTATCATCCCCTGGGTCACCTCTCACCTCTCTCCTAGTCTCCATGTCTAGTGAATGACCTCTCGTCCACCCGGAAATCCTCCTGCTTTTGACCTAGCCTGTGATGCTTACCTCCAACTCCTCCCTTCCCTGGATTGACAGGCCCCGTCCTGGTTCAAGCCTCATTAGGTCTGCTGCCTGGAATTTATTCCCAGTTCCTCAACTGATCTCTTTTGAGAAGTCACTGGTTCAGATCTCCCCTGTGTAATCCTCATCTCCTTCCGTGACCCCAGCTCTGTTTGTGTTGATTATTTCCCAGACTGCCTTGCTGGTCCCTCGGCTGCTAAGCCCTTCCTGGCCTTCTGCTCTTGATGCAATCCCATGAACACTCCCAGGCTCGTTCTCACTATTATTTGTCCAATCTGTTGTGGAATAGCACTTTACCTATGTAAAGATGTGTTACATTTGTTTATGTTGTGGAATATTTAACTGTGTAAACGTGTGTTACATTTGTTTATGCTGCATTTGTTTAATTATGTAAAGATGTGTCGCTTTGCCTGCCTAAGACACCTGACTGGTCTAATAAAAAGCTGAACAGTCAATAGCTAGACAATAGAGGGATAGGTGAGGCTGGTAGGCAGAGAGGATAAGTAGGAGGAGGAAAGCTAGGCAGGAGAAGAGAACAAGGGAGAAAGAGGGAGATGCCTGGGGCCAGCCTGCCAGATGTGGAGGAAGCAGGAAAGTAGGACATACAGAATGAAAAGAAAGGTACAAAGGCCCCAGGCAAAACACAGATGAAGAAAAACAGGTTAAGTTATAAGAGCTAGTGGGGCAAGCATAAGATAAGGCTGAGCATTCATGACTAATACTAAGTCTCCATGGCATGATTTGGGGGCTGGTGGTCTGAGAAAGCCTGCTGCACCAATCAGACTCTTTCCTCTGTGTCTCGGGGCACAATACAGATAAGTAGTGTCACTTTTCTTACCAACCTACTGTCTAATCCAGGACACTTCGGGGAATAAAAGGAATGCTAAGAACTGCTTTCGTATGTGTGGTTACCCTGCTCTATTGAAGATCACTGTAAAGAGCAGCTGGACTCCCATGCCTCTCATTCAGACTGCTAGGTCGCCCTGTGAAGTGGTATCACCATCCTCATTTTTTTTTTCAGATGGAAGATGGAGCCTCAGAGAACTGGAGACTATGGACAACACAACCAGGTGGCAAAACCGGCCAGGGAACCCAGATATCTAAATTCTGGGTTCTTCTACGTTTATTCCTCCAGTGTCGGGGTCCTACTGTCTAGACGTAGGACGTGTGCTATCCTGGGATGAAGAAGGGACTTACAGAAACGGAGGCTTACTCAGAGAGAAGGCTCGGGGTGTGTCTGGTGGATAGATGATCTCTTTAAGTTAGAAAAGAAACGGTGTCTTTATTATAAAATAGTGTCCTCTCCCAGCACACTAGTGGCTGTCTATCTATTCATCCAGCCATGTATTTGATTAACATTTATTACACACCTACTATGTGTCATGGCAGTCCCCAGATTACACCTCTCCTAAATATATTTCCTTGCCATATTTCAAGATGGTTATTCTGAGAAACTGTACCCAGAAATAGCTCTGGAAATCTGTTCTTCGGCTGAAGAAGTTTCCATCACTCTGCAGCAGTGGAGAGGAAGCAGCGGTCGCAGACAGAAGCTTCCTGGATCTGCCTCCAAAGAGTCTGGGAGCACCTCCCCAGGCAGAGGTGACCACGCGGCCTTCTGAGGCCCTCCTGGCCTGGCAGGGCAGCCTCTGGTCATCCATGCCAGCACTCCCTGGGCTGAAGTCCTCAACTGCCCACATCCAGGGAACCCCCAAACCTTAGTCCTTTGTTTACCACAAAATGTTTAATAAATGTCAACCATCTGGCCCTTCCCTTCAGGTTTACACTTCGTAGATTGTTGCTGGTGTACGTAACTCTGTGTGTGTGTGTGTGTGTGTGTGTGTGTGTGTGTGTGTGTGTGTGTGTACTGAACCCAGGGCCGCACCAACACAACAGATTTCGCTTGCTTTTTCCTCTCATTTGTTTTGAGTGCTTGTGAACGCTTGTACGCCACGGTGTGCACGCGAAGGTCTGAGGAGGATTCTGGGGGGCTCAGTTCTCCTTGCATTACGTGGTCGTGGTCGTGGTCGGGAGAATCCGACTGAGGTGGTCAGGCTAGGCAGTAGGTGCCTTCATATTCTGAGCCATCTCGCTGGCCCTGCTCTTTCTCTTTTTAATCTACCTACCGTTGGTTCATTATTACATCTCCAGAGAAAGAAAATATAAAAACCCTTACACCCGGAGTCTGTTGCTGTTACAATGATGAACTAATAATGATGAACACGCCCCTCCCTTTTCGTGGGATTTACATTCCAAGCAGGAGAAAGCCCGCTCAGCAAAAACCCTAATTACAAGTCAGAATAAATGCAAAAGAGGGGAAATAGTGGCTTAAATATTTAATGCGTTGAATAAAAACAAGAGTCGAATATTTAGTAAATTTAACAGGCTTTTTAATCTCACAGATTTCACGATGGCTGCAGTGGAGATAGCTCTCTGGTTTCTGCTTGAGACAAGGGAGCAGACGAGGGATATGAGGGTCGATTTGGATGTGTGGGGCTTGAGGTGTGCAGATCTCCTTGGTATTCTACGCTCTCTCTAGTCTGAGTTAAACTGAATTGACCTAAACCGAAAAATGATGGTAAGTCAGAGGAAACGTGCTCAGCTCGCCCAAATAAAGCTGGTCTGCAGGCAGGCTCCATAGAACCGCCGGCAGGTGGGAAGAAAAGAAGCCGGGAGGAAAGGGGAAGCGATGAGTTCCCAGAGTCGCAGACTGCGGGGGCAGAGCACTTGGGGACCCGACCACGGGTATTATCCCTAGTGGGAGCCCGACCCCGGCCCTTCCCAGGCGGGCAGAGCCAGTGCGCCCCGCGGGGGCCACGAGGGGAGGGGGACACCGGCTTTCCCGGCTCCCTGGCAGCCAGACCCGCCAATCCCGCCGCGCCTGGTGGCGGTACCACGTGATCAGCTTCCCCTCGCCTCGCTCCAGGGCCTTCCAGGGAAGACCGGCATCCCCGCCGTCCCCCGCCCCTCGCGTGCCGCAGTCGCGTGGGTGGGCACTCCCGCCTGGCTGGGATTCCTCCGCAGTCCTCCGCATTGGAGAGGGAGGGGAGGGAGGGGAGGGAGGGGAGAGCCCGCGAATTGGAGCCGCAGTGCCCGCAGTGTTTTCCGCCAAGGTCAAGCATACCCACTCTTTGGCAGGGATGCCTCAAAATGCTTTCTCTGCAGTCCTCCCAGCCATTCCCACCGCCTCTGGCACAGGCAGGTCGGCTGCAGCATCCTTGGTCCTCCTGGACCACTCTCACTACTCCAGCGTCTCTGTGGGAGGGAGTGCGGGGCTTTAAGTGGCTCGTGGAGCTTCCCCGCCGCGTTTCTAATATGCACAGCTCTTGCTTTAAACCCCTACTGGGACTAGGGGTGTATTTCGGTGGTAGAGGCCCTGGGTTCTATCCCTAGAACTGCAAGAATAAATAAGATAAAACCGAATAAGAAGAAACACCATGTTGGCCTCGAATGCCCCCTCCAGCCCTATTAGCCCTTTCTGTTGGAGACCCTAGTCCCCTGGATTGCCTTGCCTCTCCAGGAACAGCCATCATTTGAATACTGCCGACAGCGAGCCTGGGAAATTTCAGACCCATATTCATAATAACAAGGTAGCAGGAGGTGGGGGTGGACCCTAAAATGCCTCTTAGCAATGGCCATATATTTGAAAACCTGCAGGATTCGAGGAGGGAAGATAAACATGGCGGTGGGCAGAGGAATAAGAAAAATCTGCTTGAAGGGCAGGGACCACCCCCCTCCACTCCGGCAACATGCCTCTTGGGAAGAAGTGTGGATTCTGTAATGCCAGATTTTCTGAGGGGAAAAAAGAAGCCACGTTCCGTGACCTATCTTATTTGGAATCTTTCAATGTTTAGGTTTTAAAAAACAGTCTTGAAGACTAGGACTACCCACAGGCCATCAGTACATGACCTCCACTTTTGGGAAGAGGCTAATTCTCATGGGGAAAATGCTGTTTAAGGTGAGGGTGTGGCCTTGAATTTCTGAGAGGCAGATGCTGTGGAGTCCACAAAGAGGAGTGTGGACTTGGATGTGCTCTTAAAACGGCTTTAGATATTCTGGGCGAGAGTTGCCAGTGAGAAGAGGTGGAGCTCAGATAATCTGCCAGTATCTAGAGGAGGTAGATTTGGGGAATGGGTGAGGGTTGAGGACTCTCGGGAGTGGTGGGCAGCAGGAAGCCTGCCAAGGACATCTGCCATGAATGACAGGGTATGTGCAGTGACTGTGTATCCCCATTCTTGAGGGGCTATGTGAATGACAGAGTAGGACCACTACACTTTTACATGTGGTGGTAGGGAGATGGGAGGGGAAGCTGACGCCCCAACCCTACAATGGTGTGATGCATGTCTATTGTCAGGAGCTGCCAGGAGATGGCCCGGGACTGAGAGTTGTGTCAGTGGAAGTAACAGCCATCTGTGAGCTGGGTGTGGTAGTTCACACCTGCAACCCCAGCTCAGGAAGCTGAGACCAGAGGATCAAGAGGTCTAGACCCCAGTGAGATGGCTCAGTAAGTTAAGGCACTTGCCACCAAGTCTCAGGACCTGAGTTCAATCTCTAGTACCCACACGGTGGAAGGAGAGAACTGACTCCTGCAAGCTGTCCTCTGACCTCCACATGCACGCTGTGACACACACACATGTGACATACACAGGCATGTTTTCCCTCCTCCCCTCCCCCTCCTCTTGCATGCACACATGCGTTAAATGTAATTTATAAGAGATCCAGGCCAACTGAGCAAAGTGGTAGACTTCTGTAATCCCAGCATTTGGGACACAGAAGCAAGAGGATTATCATGAGTTTAAGGCCTCTGTAACCTACATAGTGAGTTCTAGGCTAGCTTGGGCTGCATAGTAAGAATTTACCTCAAAAGCAAAACAAAGGGGCACACCTTTAATCCCAGCACTCAGGAGGCAGAGGCAGGTGGATCTCTGAGAGGTCAAAGCCAACCTGGTCTACAGAGCGAGTACTGAGACAGCCAGGACAACATAGACCCTGTCTCAGAACAAGATCGAACAAAACAAAACAGAAAACCCCAAACAATGCAACAACAACAGAAGAGCCAGCTGAATCTGTTTGGGGAGCACAGGATTTTCAGCTCACCCTGAGCTGTGGTGTGTCTCAGTCTCCTACCCTGGAACTCTTTAGGAAAAGTCTTACTATACCAAGGGCCTGCCTTGAGTGGGGGTATTTGTGGAAATGGCTGCAGAGCCAATCAGAGCTGTGTTTTGTTGTAGTGCTGGCCCACAGGTTGAACAAAGCAGGAGCTGGACCAGGAGAAGTAATGCTGATAATTACCCCCCCCCGCCCGCGCCCCCCCCCCCCCCAGGATTTGCAGGAATCTTGGAAAGTGGTTTTGGTCTTGGTACGTCACTTGTCCCTAGAAGGTCTCAAGGGATCATGAGACTGGCTGATACCTACAAAGTATTGGCTACAATTTACCGAGTCCCTACTTAGTTGTACAATACACTGTACTAAATGCTTTGTATTTATTATCTGTCCCCCCCCCAAATCATTATATGAGGAAAATACTAATTATAACCTCCATATTAAGAATGAAGGCCCAGGGCAGTGACATACTCTACCAGTGAGCTATAATCTAAGCCCTGCTTGGCAAAGTTGCAAATAAAAAGAGATCAACAGTACATAGGAGATGTCCCACCAATAAAGAATGAACAGAGGGCTGGGCTGTGGTTCGGCAGAAGACCACTTGTCTAGCACGCACATGCTGGGTGTGACAGAACATACTTCTAAGTCCCCAGTACTCCAGAGGCTGAGGCAGGAGGATTGCCAGTCACCTTGAGGCCAGTCTGGGTCACACACTGAGACTCTTGACTCTAAATAAATAAACACTCAAACTCAAAACCCTCTGCAAAGCAGATACTCAAATTATCTTCATTTCACAAGAGAGAAAATTAGGTTAGAGATGAGACGTGATATGACTTCCCCAAGTTGAGTACAGTTATGAAGTGGCAGTGTCTGGATTTAGCTTTAAGACCCTTCACCCTGCTCTCTACAGCTCAGCTTCCATCTTCTCTTCATTCACCAGAACACCGACCAAGCTACTAAGTGACAGACCTTCTCTTCAGGAGCAGAGGAGACAAGGCCAGACTCTAAAAGATGTTTCTTGTTTGCTAGAGAGGCAGACAACTCAATAGACCTTGACATTCAGCCCGACAAGCTCTGTACTGGGGCAAATTCAAGTGTGAGAGGAGCAAATTGCTGTCTCACTTAATTAATTGATAAGTAATTAATATGACTGGGGACTGAACCAGGACCTGAGCTGGTTCAATATGCTGTTTTCAAGTGTTCTACTGCTGAACAGTTACCCCAGCCCTGGGCCACTGCTCTGGATTAGAATTTTTCTTTTCATAAATCCCTTTTCATTTTTAGTTCCCTAAAGTGAGGTAGAAACACATTCTTACCCCTTATGTCTGGGAGTATAAGGCGGCATTGCATCTGGAACCAAGCAAAAGTCAGTCTGTCTGTCTGTCACTGTCTTTCTGTCTTTGTCTCTCTGTCTCTGTCTTTGCCCCTTTCTGTCTTTGCTTCTGTCTCTCTGTGTCTGTCTGTCTGTCTGTCTCTCTCTCTCTCTCTCTCTCTCTCTCTCTCTCTCTCTCTCTCTGTGTTTTGAACTGCCTTTTCTATCCTTTAACATGCACAGATGGTCCAGCCTCTCAACCTGGGGTGTAGTGGTCCTTGAGACGTCGCCTCTGCCCCAAAGCCCAGCAGACAGGCAGTTCTCACTTAATTTCCAGAAATCCAGCGCGTCAGTCCCACTCTCAGCTGAGCTTACCTCTGTCTGTTAGGTTATGTGTAACCTTTCTCTTTTTCACTTCTTTGTTTTGATTTTTTTTTCCTACTGTGAACTTATTTTGTCACTGGTTAAGGTGTGGCTAGAGGTGTGGTTTAGTGGCAGAGTTCAGTCTCCAGCACTGCGAACAACAACAACAAAGAGGACAAATAAAATGGTTCTCTATTGTAACAATTATTTGTGGCGTCAGTGATGTAGTGAGGACATGAGAGGGCATCAAAGGTTGAGGACTGGTTCCTATTCCTGAGAGATCATTATGAGCCACTTCTAACTTGCCTCATCGTAGGCAAGTCTCGGTTAATCTCCCAAACCAGCTTAGAGATCAGCTGATAAGACTAGCAGCAGCTGAGAAATCAAATATCTACTTTATAGGTCAAGAAACCGAGACTCAGGAAGTTTCTGTTACGCTCCCAGCAACACACAGCTAGAAAGTGATGTGGCAACATTTGAATCCGGTGTGAGAGTGACTTTAATCTCCAGACTCAGCAACCATTCCAGGTCTACCCAGTTGGAAGATACTTAGGTGTCCCCAGTTCCACTCAGAGTGGAACTACCCTACCCGAGTGCTGTGGCTCATGTAATCCTAGCACTGAGAAGATTGAAGCAGGAGGATTGCCAGAAGTTCAAGGCCAGCCTGGGTTATAGTGGCACTATTATAAACAGACAGACAGTAAGAATAACAACAAAAGTAAGTTGGCAGAACTATCTAGAAAATCCAGGAAAGTAAAGATTTAATATCCCATTTTCCAGAAAAGAAAATTAAGGCCATGGAGGGGACTTGTTCAATGTAGTCAGCAAAAGTACCTAGGTCAAAGTAGTGATGTTCTTTCTAGAATCCAGGTCTCTCTTTTCTCCTCAGATAGCTCGCCTCTAAGCTACCTCTGCCAATTCTTGAGCCAATGACTCATAGTAAACTGTTGGATGGACTTCCCCTTCTCAAAGGACAGGAAATCTGTGTGTGGACAGTCCCTGTGGGTGAAGAATTTCAGGTCAGTTATCAAGTGGGCAGAGCGGTGTAGACGATCAGGTCTGGCAGAGTGTGGCCTGTCTGACTGGTAGAGCTTGACGGGCTGTCTGGTCGGAATTGGCTGTCTGACTGGTAGGAGTTGGCCTGTCTCTCTGGTCGGGGTTGGCCTTGGCCTGTCTGTTTGGGAGAGGTTGGCTGTCTGTCTGGTAGGGGTTGGTCTGTCTGGGGTTGATCTGTCTGCCTGGTAGGGGTTGATCTGTCTGTCTGGGAGGGTTTGACCGACTGTCTGGTTGGCATTGGCCATCTGACTGGTAGGGGTTGGGCTGTCTGTCTGGTAAGGGTTGACCTGTCTGTCTGTTATAGGTTGGCCTGTCTGTCTGGTAAGGGTTAGTTGTCTGACTGGTAGGGGTTGTCTGTCTGTCTGGTAGGTGTTGACCTGTCTGTCTGGTAAGGGTTGGCCTATTTGTGAGGGGTTGGCTGTCTGTCTGGTAAGGGTTGGCTGTCTGTCTGGTAAGGGTTGGCTGTCTGTCTGTTATGGGTTGGCCTGTCTGTTATGAGTTGGCCTGTCTGTCTGGGAGGAGTTG